CATCTGCATATGAACGTATATAAATTAGAAAGGCAGGAAAGGCAAGTCTCCTAATAACCCCAGCCCTCAGAGACCACTACTACTTGATGCTATAATGTAGTCTATTTCTTCTCCATCTTCTCTCTCCACAATTTTATTAAAAAGCTAGGATTCTACTATAGATGTTGTTCGATTTTATGCTTCTTACTGCAAAGTTTTTCCTATGTCTTTACCGTTTCTAATCATAAAGCAGTAACTGCCAATTACACAGAACTCATAGAGTACAGATTTAATAAGAAAAGGAAGAATACTCACAATTCCCCCTCCCCAGCCTTGTCCATTATTGACATCATCTAGATGCTTTGCTATGCATATCTGTAGCATGCTTCTTAAAGAATGAGCCTTCAGAAATCATTTATCATTTTCTTTGAGATTGCTGGGCTGTGAGCCAGGAGCCCTGAGCTTCAGACCCAGGTCAGACATTAGTAGTTGTAAGTCGCTCCCTTCTCCTTCCCCTCCCCTTCCCCTCTCCTCTCCATCCTGAGTGCTGAATTGTGCATAATGGCTAAGCCCTTCCAGCCTAGACTTAGGAAGGGTGGGAGATCAGCAGGCCCCAGGGCTGGAGGCGGGAAGGCCCAGAGAAGAAGCCTGGTGCCTCCATAGGAAAGCTTTGCTCTCCCCGGCCTGCTGAGCAAAGAGCAAGGCCCCAGCGCTGCTTTTGTTCCCTGGAGTCTCCCATAACTCCTTGCAGTTCCCCAATTACACCAGGCTCTTTCTGGCTCATCCCAGTTCTCTGCTTGTGTCTCTTTTCTCCTCCTGACTCAGCCTGGTTAACTCCTGCCAATCCTTTGAATCTCAGTTCCAGGGACACCTCTTCCTGGGAGCCTTCCCTGCTTCCCCAGGCTGGGTTAGGCTCCTCCTCTGGCCTCTCAGAAACTTACATACCTTAGAGCACTTACCATGGGACACTGTAGGCATCTGTTTGGTCACCTCCCACCTTGAGGGCAGGGACCCAGCCTCACTCACCTGGTATCCCAGGTGTGGGGCACAGGCTGTGAACTCTCTGCCAGTGAACATCACTGAAAGGAACAAACCTTCCACACAGGCTGTTCTCCTCAGCAGTGACCGCCTTCAAGGAAATCAAATCTATGGGTGCTCCCTAGATGGTTCCTCACTGGCAGAGCAGCCACCCCTGGAAGGTGCTGTGGATACAGAGGCAAAAAAAAACCAAAACAAGAAAGCGCAACCAAGAAGTCCCGAAGGCCGACTCCACAGCAGAGGAGCGGTCTTTCTTTAACTCACCATAAGCAGGCAGGACAGGAACCAGGACCCCAGACCTCTGGATGCCCAGCTGCAGGCCTTAGAACAGCACCCCAGGAACTTCTGGGTCATGCCTGACTCTGTTTCCTGTTTCCTGGGTGCAGCACCTCTTGGAAGATGAGAAGGGGGCCAGAGGGCTTGGCGAAGGAGTGGCCTCTACCGATGCAGGGGAAGATTTGGTTTCTTTTAGAGGGTGAGGGAGGTGGATTTGACTCCAGGAAGCTAAGCAGCTGCCTCCCCCTGCTGTGTCCTGGGAGGAGATAAATAAGTGAGCTTTGGTGGCAATGGAGGTGAGTTGGCCAAAATAACCTCCAGCCAGACAGGTAGATGGGTGCTGTCCCCTCTCTTCTCATTAAGGGCTTTTCATCCAAGCCCAAGCTACAAGTACAGTAGGGGGGTGAGCTCCCTGCGAGGTTTGCAGCATTCACACAGAGGGTGGATGGCCCCTTGTCAGGAATTCCTTCAGAGGGTTCCTAGAGCCAGCTAGACTAGATATTCTCTGCGAAGCCTCTAACTCAGAGACCTGATGATTCTGGTAGGAGAGTTGAGAAGAGGCCTAGAGAACACCAACCCCTTACCTCCAAGGCATAACGGCAGGGGACACAGAGCAGACGTCAGAGGGCACTGAGTCATGCCCCAGGAAAGCCGGGCAGCACTGGGGCAAGGTAGGGTGGGCACAGACATCAGCAAGCTGGAACTGGGTGGGGGTGGGGGGCTGAGAGGGGAGTTTGGCTGAGCTGGAGGAGAAGCCACAGGGACTCCAAGTCCAGGGACAGCGGGATAGGACAGAGCGCACTCAGGCACCGCACCAGGAACTTGCCAGGCCGTGACTTTCTGCTCTGTGACTGTAAGCAATGAACAATTTGTCACCAAGCTGGAAATGACAAGCAAAACCTTGAAACGCCACCTCCTTGTAAGAGCTCTCGGTTCCACAGCAGAGCACAGCCCTGGAACGACTGTGGCCCCACTGCTCTGAAGTTAAGATCACAAGCCTTCATGTGACCCTCAGGCCCCGCGTGATCTGGCCCCCTCTGCCGCCTGCCGTTGAGCTGCCATCCCCAGGGCCCTGTTTGCTCCGACACGCTGGCCCTCTGTCTTGTCCTAAAAGGCGGGACTCCCCTCCCTCTGCCCTCTCCACTACTTTGTCTCTGCTGCAGGGGCTCCCCCTCACTCAGCTCCGCAAGTCCCTGCCCTGGATGATCCCACTTGTTCTAAGAGGCTCAGCTCAAATGTCACCTCCTCCAGAAAGCCCTTCCAGATTCCCCAGACAAGGTCAAACTCCTTTCTCATGGCCTTCTGTGTCCCTCCCCTCCAGCATCTGCCATAGTTGTATTTAAGTGACTGTGTTATTTAACATCTGAAAACCCTGCTAGGCTGTGAGCTCTGTAGGTAGGACTCTGTCCATCTTTTCACACAGGGTCCCCAGCATCTAGCCCAGAGCCTGGCAGAGTGAGCTAAGGGAGTATTTGTGAAGGAAGGGGGGGAGGGAGGGAGGGAGGGAGGGAGGGAGGAGGGGGGGGGAGGAAGGAAGGAAGGAAGGAAGGAAGGAAGGAAGGAAGGAAGGAAGGAAGGAAGGAAGGAAGAAAAGGAGGGAGGAAGGAAAGGAGGGCAGGCAAGCAGGAAAGAAGATCCCTGAGAAACTCAGTATTCTTAGCAATAGAAAGATTATGGACCAGGAAACACCATTAAATCAAGCAAATAAACAGAGGCCCATATGTCAAGGTTCTGTTCATTCTGTGACAGTGCAAAACCTGCATGTTTATTATCGGGATGGAAACAACAAACACAAAACCACACGCAGCATCTCCAGAAGAGACCTTCTGCCAGAAGAGACCCAGGTGCCCTGGGAGCTCGTCAAGGCCATGGAGGAGCAGGTGGGCCCCCAAGTACAGACAGACCTGGTCTGGGTCCAGGAGCTAGGACCCAGGAGCCAAGCTGGAGGTCAGGAACCGAAGGCAAGGAGATCAGAGGCAGGTTAATTATCTCCTCCATGCCAAGCACTGAGCTTGCTGGTTGGCTTGTTTAATCTGAAAGTCTGTGAGGTGGGAACTGTTATTCCCATTTTACAGGTGAGGAAACTGAGTTTCCCATGGGTTAGGATATCTGATTAGAGTCACATAGTTCCGTGTACATGCTTCTGGCACAGAACTTCAGTTCGTACCCAGATCTTCTTGACCCCAACAACCATGCACTTTTGTCCCTGTAGCTTCTCTGCATAAGAGGCTCAGGCACTGTTGTCAGAAGCTGTGAGTACAGTATCGGCTTTGGAAGTCAATTGACAGGCAATACCTGCTATCTTCATTCTGTCTCGCAGCCCTGCCCCTTTGTGGCAACACATTACTCTTTCCAGAAGATAATTCATCTTGTGAAGTTCTGCTGAGCTGACCCTGCCAAAGTAGACACACTCATTCCTACCTCCACAGCTACTAGTCCTGGAATAGACATGTGATCAGGCAGGGCCAATCAGAGGCCTTCCCTGGATTTTGGGGCTAAAGCTACCGGGAAAGACAGTCATTCCTATGGCTGTACTACATGTATAGGAAACAGAATTGGAGCTGCCACGGGACAACTTTCTTGCCATGTGGAGAGAGTTGGCTCTGGACTCAGACCGGCAGAGAGAGAGGAACGGAGAAGAGCGAGGTGATGGAGAGTGCCCTGCAGACCTCCACTGAGCTCTGGACCCAGCCGTGCCCAAATTGCCCTGGGACACGCTGGGTACCAAAGTTGATCAGTTCTCCTTTTCACTTGAGCAGGGGCGAGCTGGAGGAAGGGAGGCACACCAGGGTGAGAGGTGCCCTGGGAGCTCGTCAAGGCCTGGAACCATCCAGCAAGACGAAAGGGGACAGGGAGGGGAAACAGCCTTTCGACTCCATGTGGCACCATCTTTGTCACCCACCCACCACACTGCCACGTGACTTTGTACCCGTGGTTTACCTCTCTGATTAGGCCTGCCATCTGCAGAGCAATGTACTAATTTGCAAAACCACACCAGAGACTGCTTGTTCCTGGGAAACTGCAGAGATATGGGAAATTTTCCAGTGAAATAAATATAAAGAGATCTTTCCCATTCCAGAGAGGAAGGGGCACCCGCATTCGCCCAGTGGGTGTCACACCGGGCGCCTTACCTGTTGCGCTGTGGGTCACTGAACTGAAGGGAGAGATGCAACGCCGGATACTCGGTGCATACCATTCATTCAGTAAAGACATGTTTTTGGAATGAATGAAACGTTTATCCCAATGAATCAGCACAGAAGTACGATGAGAAGAGAGTGAGAGAAGAGGAGACTGATTCACAGCGAGGGTCAGAAAGTCCCTCAAAGCCACAGAGTTGGTTAGTGGCCAAGGCAGAATTCGAGGCACATTTTTCTGGCCTGAGAACTTGCATTCTTGCCATTCCTTGTCCTCGATCACCAGAAACCATTGCCTCTGCAGGACACGCTCACCGTGAGGGCCTCTGAGAACCCGGCACAGAGCAAATAGAAAGAACGGGTTGAATTATATGATGTATGTAAATAAGATTGAAGACATGAGATGATGAAAGATGTGTAAGTGCTAACATGGAGGAGAAAGCCACGCGGAGGGTGGGGGCAGGGCAGCAACCAGATCAGGGCCAACAAGGGGGGGGGCAGGGGCGGGGGTGGTGGGAGGGAGGTAGAGAGGCGGGCGTTGCAACAGAAAGTGATGATGGCAGGGGGAGGCCGGGAAGAGAGGCTTTTGTGGACTCTTGCCTTTGAGGATGGAGTTCTTCTCTGGTAAGGAGGAGGGAGCCGAGAGACACCGTGGTCGGGAGGAATGCCTAAGACTGCCAGAGGAGGGTGTGTGTCTGCTTGGGGCAAGGGAAACAAAGCAAGAGGGACAGCAAGAGAGACCTAGGGTAGACAAGGGGAAGCTTTCTTCTGGGCAAGAGTGAGGAAGCTGTGGTCTGGGCGGGTGAGCAGACGTGCAGGCTCTGTGTGCAGAGCAGTTGTGTGAGAAAGGCTGCTGGTCCAACACACGAGCTCCGAGCTCTGGGGTAAGCCAGCCGTGGGCTGGCTCCCAGCTCAGCCTGTCCCTGTGTGACCCTAGGTTACTTCTTTCTGAGCCTCCACAGGCATCTGAGAATCAGCACAGTCCTTCACCAAGCCTGGCACAGAAGCGGGTACAACAGGGAAACAACGAGCCGAGGAGCTGAAACCTCGAGCCCAGGGATTTGCCCTGGAGGGGAACGTGGTCTCCTGTTCCCCCGCCTACGCCTGACGTGGGACCGGGCTTGGGGACAACCTTCTGCTTGCAGAGGCTCCTAGAAGGGAAAGAGGGGAAGGAGGCCCGAAGCCCAGTAACTTTACCCTTGAGCAGTGTTTAAAACAGTTATTTGAGACTTTTGAAACTTTTTTAGGGAAAAAAATAAATACTAACCTCAAAGCTTCCTTTTTCTCTGTGTAGAGAGAAGAAAAGTCTTAAATTAGCCTTTGGGGCACAAGCCCTTCTTTTATGGGCCTTGGCTGACCAGGGGTTAGACCGGATCTTATTCTGGAGCCGCCCAAGGCAGACAGAAAGGGCAGCCTTCAATGTGCTCCGTGGTGTTTTCTTTAGGAACGAGGTCCCAGCCCCCGCCCTGCTTCGCATATAGACATGGACCTCGCTGCTTAGAAAATTACCTGTCCCTGGGACAAAACCGTATGTGTGTGTAAGTGTGAGTGTGCATGAGTGTGTGTTCAAGGGAGTGTTTTTTGCCCGGGACATTCCCCAGGGGGTCAGGCCTGCATTCACAGGCAAGATTCAGAGGCCCATCCTCACTTCCTGTTGGTGACGGAAGCCAGCAGGACTGGGCAGGGAGGGCTCAGCCCCCCAGTGCCGAGGGCCCCTGGTGTCATTCTAGAAAGTGAAGGAAATCCTCAGGCTTTGGTCACATACAATGGCAAACACCTGAATTCTCCTAGCTTGTCTTGGGAGGAGAGTTTTATTTCTTGAAGTGTCACTAGAAAGGGACTGGGCTCAAAGCCTGCTTTGCCTCAAGCCTATAGCGTGTGGGTTCTTGATTTTGTGTAGAAAAGTTCACAATGCGAGTCTGGGTGAGAGGACATTTATTAAAGCTGGGGACAGGGAAACAAAGGGTGGGCTTGTGACAGAAGGAGTACAGGGGAGAGCCGAGGTGGTGGTCTGCCTCAGCTCTCTAGAAACTAACAGGGAGGGAGTGAGCCCAGGCGGGGCTGCTGTCAGCTCACTGGGAAGTCAGAGAAAAGGGGCCTTGGGGACAGGTCAGGGGGTTAGCCTGCCCTGGTTGCAAGTCTCATGGGGACCCATAGAGTTTAGAAGAAAGTAAAAAGTTCATGGCCCAGAAAAGACATGGGCGTGCCCACATTGGCCTTTTGTCTTGAGGGTTACTGTCTGTCTTCTCCAGGGGGTGGGAGTCTTCGGGGAGGTTTTACGGGAGGGTTTCAGTAGAATATTCATCAGCTTTCCAGGTGCGTGTTTTAATATGCTGGTGCATTAAAATGAATGAGCATGTAGCAGAGTCAGGGGTCATTCTCTGCTCAGCTTCACTGCTTTCCTTTTATCTTGAGATTTTTTTGTTATTTGTTCCCCTGACTGTATCCATTCTTGGGTTTGGCTGGCACAAATGGCACTAATTAGGTCTGTGTTACCTGTCTCCCTGACAGGGTGGTTTAAGCTGTGTAGTCTCTGGTTAGGGAGGAGATGTGTAAACCGTTTGTTCTCAAGGGTCCTTGGTCAGGGAAGATAAAGGCTTGTGATTCACTAGCCGGCTGTAAATTGGTCAGACTATCTGGCCTTCTTTAATTATCTTGTCTCGGTTTCCCCATTCCACTCAACGAGGAATTTTCCTAGCTTCTTATTACCCTGCCTCATTAGCAACCAGCCAGTCCCCCAATCAGTCATCCTAGAAAAATGCCAATCTGCCGGCAGACAGTGAAGATCCAAGGCTGTACCTCTCTCTGGGGAGGAGGGAAAAGGACGGAGGCGCAAGCGAGTGAAAGAGGCCAACAGTAAGGCCAAGCTGGGCCCTGGGCCAGGTTCCCCAGGAGCAGCTATTGTCAGCTGCCAGGTTGAAATTTGTTTCTCTAACATTGCAGTTCTCTCCCGCCACGGCCAAGCCTGGGGTAAACGCTGGGTTGACCACGACTGCCGTCCGGCCTTTGCCGTGGGACATTGAAGGGCAACGAGTGTCCGTGCTTGGGGCAGGCCCACGGAGGGGCTGCTGTCCTTCCCCGCACCGCCTCTGTCTCGATGCCAGCGCAGACTCCTGTCAGGGGAGACGAACAGCGGCGTGAGAGGGGTCACGTGGAGCAGGGGAGACTATGAGAGTCACACAACTATGTGGTCACGGTCACAAGCACTGATGGATAGATGACCCCTCTCTCCCCAGTAATGGAGGGGAACAGGACTCACCAGCTGGAGCCTAGATCCCATAACAGAAAGACGCAGATTAGTCACTTATAAGTTTGGTATATTGATCCCTTGCAAGGGACCTGATTCATATTAGCTCAGACAAAAAAAGAAACATATTGGCTCATGTAGCCAAGACATTCAAGGAACTCAGCGATGGGCAGATCTAACCGAGTCATGGGCCTACGTCCCCCTGCCTCTCAAGTCCGCTCACCTCCGCCTGACTTCACTCCCCAGCGGGATCTTACTCAGGCTCCCAGTAGCTGCAGGTTTACATGGACGTCGACACTGTAATTCAAGACGGAGACTCTCCATTCCAGAGTATGATAAAACTTCCAAAAAGATGAAAACTCATGATGTTTGATATGGAGAAATAGGAGAGAGTCCCCCAAATCCTAATGAGCACACCTGGGGCACAGCCCTTGGTCTTTAAATGTGCCCTGCACTGAATGGGAATAGAACTCTGTAGGGACAATGACTGACTCCTGGGCTGATTTGGGAAAAGTACGAGGTGAACCTAAAACATCTTATTAAATCAGAAAGCAAGGAAGGTAAGGAAGACAAATGGTGATAGAAAAAAAAGGAAAGGAAGGAAGGAAGCACTTAAAGACTAACAGGGACACGTCCAAAGGACACTTGTGGGAGGAGCTCCCACAAGCCAAACATGAGACAATCTGGACATCAAAACAAATGATGAAAGCAAAGATAATAAACCCACTGCACAAAGTAGGAAGCCCTGAGCTCACAGTGAGATAAGTAAACAAATAAACAAATAAACCGATTGCTCGATGAGAAATGAGACATTCACATTGTCTCAAAGTAAACCCCCTCAAAACACTCATGAACTGCAAAGTGGAAGAGCGTTACCTCCACGGTGGAGAAGCCTGGCCAACACTGTCAGAATTCAGGGGCAAAGTGAATGTCACCAGTAAGGGGACAATTCAAAATTGCCTGATAGGAGGCCTTGAGAAGAACCCAGCTGCGCTTCTGTAATCTTCCCTGCCACACGCGCACCATCGGAATCTAATCATAAGGAAACAGACCAACCCAACAGGAGGGACATTCTGCGAAACAACTAGCCGGTAATCTTCATAGGGGTCAAGGTCATGGTAGGAAAGATCAAGGAACTGTTTCAGATGGAAGGAGACTAAAGGGTCACGACAAGTAAATGCCATGTGTGATTCTGAACTGATTCTTTTGCTCTAAAGGATATAACTGGGACAGCTGGTGAAACTTGAATGGGATCTGAGGGTGTGATGGTAGTAATGTATCAGCATCGATTTCCTGATTTTGATAGTTGATATAGTAGAGTCCTTATTTGTAGGAAATACATGGGGATAGAGCATCACGTCATCAACGTGTTCTAAATGGTTCAGGGGGAAAAAGTTATTTGTATTGTATACTTTTCTTTGTATTGTAACTCTTCTATAAGTCTAAAGTCGTTTCCACCCCGAATGTTTTATCTACCCCAAAAGGATTGTGATACGCCCAGCTTATGTCTCGTATCTACGATTGGCCAATGGCTGCATCCAAAGGCTTGAGGTTCCCTGATTGGCCGGTTTGGGTGCTTTGCCCACTCCTGACATGGGGTGCCTGCATGGGCAGCTGGAGCGACAGCCCACCAGGATCAGGGGGACTGAAAAACAGCAGGCTCCTTAAGGAGAGGACTCAAGACAGACCAAAAAAAGTAACAGTTACCTACTGCATTTATGTTACACTCTATTATTAACTTTTGGAAAATAATTCAATCATTTGAAAGCATATAACCTTTGACTCAGTAATTCCGCTTCTTGGTAATCTATTTGAAGAGAATCATCTCAGTAAGGAGCGATGGAAGCTTTATATTCAAAGAGGTTGGTTCCAGTGTTATGTAGGGTACTGAAATGCTGAGAGCCACCTCGACCCAAGTATCAGAGAGAGGCTGATACCAGGGCCGGTCTGTGGCCAGGTGGCTGACCAGCCCTGGGGCCTCTGGGTGTCCTGCTCACAGGCCTCCCGCATTTCCTCCTGCAGGTGACAGCATCTCAGTCCACCCGGCGTGTCTGAGCTTCACAATAAGTCACGACTATGTCCTTGAGAATGACTCAAAGTAAAGAGACTAATTATTTCAAATGTTGGGTAGAGGGAATACAGCTGAACAAGAAGAAGTAATGAATTGCAATATATTACAATTCATATGCGACAACATGGAGGACTCTCCAAAACCTGCCATGCTGAGGCAAAGAAGCCTTACACAGCAGTACACAGTGTGATTCCGCTTCATGGCTATGGTGTGATTCTGCTGTGTGATTCTGCTTCATGGTGTTCAAGCACAGAGAAAGGCCCTCACTAGCGACAGACATCGGAACAACGGCTGCTTCTGGGAACTTTCTGGGTGATCGGCAGGCTCTGTGTCTTGATTTACATGGTGGTTCCATTGGGTGGTTCCTTTGGTTACTTTAAAAATCTGAGTGGTCTACTGCATGGGAAGTATAACTCTATGCAAAAAAGAATAAAATTTTTTAAATATTTTAGGCTCCAAAGTTCTGAAAGACCAATAAAGGGAGAGATGCATGTATTGTGCATAGTTCTTGACTATTTGCACTACATTCTTATAGCCACGGTCCTGGTATCCAAAGTCCTTACCGGGTTGACTACTTTCTCACCAGGTTCTCTCCTAGTTACTGTTCCTCCCTGGGTCCCTCGGCTCCAGCCCCACTGACCACTCCCTACAATTGCAATTCCTTAAACAAGCCAGCCACGTCCCCACCTTGGGTCCTTTGTGCTTGCTCTTCTCTCTGTCTGGAATCCCCTTCTCCCAGGGTCTGGCTGCTCCTTCACTTCCTGAGTTCTCTGCTTAAATGTCACCCTATCGGACACAAGCCCTGCCCCCTGTCCCTCTCTTTTCCCCCTGCTTTATTTTCCTGCGTTGCCCTCACCACCACCTGGCCCCGCACCCGTGCGCTGGCGTGTGGCCTGTCTCCTGCGCCAGAACGTCGGCTCCACGAGGCAGGGGCCCTGTTTTGTTCACTGCTGTACCCCCAGCGCCTAGAATAGGGTGTCCACTAGGCATTCGTTGAGAATTTGGTTTTAGCAGGTGCTCACAGCAACCTAGGAGAGTTTTACAAACTGTAAACTTCAAAAAGGATAATTATTATAAACAAGTGGCCTGACACAGTAAATGTCAATAAATGTGAGGTCTTTTCTCTTCCAAACCTTTCCCTGGAATGTATAGGCATGATTTATCACTCTCCCCATTTTTAAGTCAGGAAAATAAATTCTTTTTTATTAGAGAGGGGGCAAGGGGAGAAAGGGAGGGAGAGAAACATCAATGTGTGGTTGCCTCTCATGTGTCCCCTACTGGGGACATGGCCTGCAGCCCAGGCATGTGCCCTGACTGGGGATCAAACCAGCGACCCTTTGCCTCACAGGCCTGTGCTCATTCCACTGAGCTACACCAGCCAGGGCAGGAAAATAAATTCCGAATGATCTAGTACTTTCCCAAGAGCGCCTTACAAGTGGCAGGTCTCAGTGTTGGGTCTGGGTCTCTTGATCCCAAGTGGCCTCCATGCAGCCAGCAGCCACCAGTTAAGTGCCAGACCATACAATGGAAGGCAGAGGTGTTAGCACAGAGGCGAATTTGCTGACCACTACAGGATACCAGCCAGGTAGACTCCCCTCGCCCAAGTTCACGCGGTGGGATTAGGGGCAGGGAGGAGCTCAGCTGGTGGAAGGCGGCCAACCGGAGAACCAACGTGCAGTCAAGCCTAATACACAATTTCTCCAGGGTGGAAAACGGCTTATCACTGTGAGCAGAACACTCGAAGGTGGGTGCTAGTATTGGGCCCATCTTAGTGTCTCATCTAACTTGTAGCACATCCCAGCTGGCTTCTGACTCCCCGTTCATTCCAAATCACTCTCCCTAGCCCCTCAGACCTGCTGCCCAAGTTCCTCTGATAACTACCCCCAGATCAGATGTCCAGGCATGGGTCACACACCCCTGTCGGCAGCCTGAGAAAAGCTGTGGATCTCTTTCCCATGGAGAAGCCCATCCACACGAGAATGCAGGGGGCCCTGCCTCCCCTGAAGCCCGTCCACAGAAACTGACTGGAGGACATCTGCTCTAAGGATACAAATGCTCTGTTTTTCAGAGCCTTTGTTAAAGTCCTTAAAATGTTCCTATTCTCTGAAGCTTTCCAACCTTTAGATGATTGGGGGTGTTTCCCCCTTAATTACAGACGAGTTTCTGCTGGAAGAAGACAGATCTAGTGGTAAACGAAGCTCAGGACTTGTCTGGGAGAATGAAGATGAAAAGAATAGCTCAAGTCCCGTGTTTTGCCAGGAAGAGAAGGAACACAGCGTCCTCGTGCTCCAGGCTCGTTCTAAACTTAGCCAGCTCTCATAGTTCCAAAGTCGGCAAGATGAGCTCCGTGCCACCCTAATAAACACGCCGTGGTGCCGTGACTCACTGAGACAGCGGCCCATATGCGGGATGTGGCTCCTGTAGCCAGCCAGACAAGGGACCGTGACAGGCTGAGTCCCATCCCAGCAGAGACATCCAGTGCAGCAGCGAGGATGGCCTGGGCATCGGGCTGCCCTGAGGAGCCGAAGAAGCTCCTTAGTGGCAAAACTTAACTTGTCTTCACACAGAGAATGAAAAAATGGGGCTGGGGAAGGAGGACCTGTGAGGTCACAAGGGTCAGGGCATGCAACAAGGGAGACTGGTGCCACGTGGGTACACCACCCCACCTGAGCAGGGTGGCACACCTAGATGCTAAGGGTTTCCCCTCTCTGTGACCTTGCACATTCAGGCACTAATACAAGGTGGCTTCTAGAAGGAGAAAAAGGTAAGGCTCCCCTGCCTGCCTGCCTGGCCCTGGTCAGGCTGTGCTGAAACCTGCGGTCAGTTCAGGAGATGGAACTCCTACCGAGGTGGGCCGTTTGAAGGGGGTGATGGACTTGGGATTTCCCACTGAAGGGGAACACGGAGACAGATGGGCAAGGTTACTATCTCCAAAGAGTCGGTGGGCTCTCCAGTTGGTCATTCTGCCGAGGCTGGAACAACCCAGCAGGACTACCAGCCACAGACTCAGCAGGGTGGGGCAGGGCCTTCCGGGACCAGGTGGGTGTGGAGCGTCCCTTGCAAAGGTCATGAAGAATATTCATCTGAGCAACAAGTGGAAGTTGCAGCTGGAAAGGGGAGCAACCCAGGCATTGTACAGCAGCAGGTCTGAGAAGTAAAGGGAGTCTGGGACAGACGGCCCAGGCCAGGAGGGTAAGGTGCAGGAACGGTGCAGACCACTGGCCCTGAACAAGGCAGGAGTGAACAAGCTCGCTCTGAGTGGGGTGTGGGCTCCTGGCACCTAGCAAGGGCCCAATGAGGTGGGCTCTGCTGGGAGTCATAGCACAGATATTCATCGCATTCCAGGATGCCCTCAGGAGAGAACTAAGACTAAGGGAGAGCTTGCAGGAGTCAATTCAGTGTAAGGAAGGGCTTCTCACAGCCACACCCACAGCTATTGAGCAATGAAATGGGAGACCTAAGATCCCTGGCAGTAGAAGGCTTTAAGCAGTTATGCGTGGTGGGGAGAGTAGAGGGCAGATTCAAGCATCAAAGTCCCTTCCAGCCTTAACTGTCTTTGTCTTGGATTCCTTCAGAAGCCTTATTGAGACAGAAGAGCAGAAATTCTTTTCTTCTTTTCCAAAGTAGGAAGGCTGAGACCCAGAGTGAACGCTGCACCCAAGGTTACAGAGAAAGGCAGCAGAACTGGGAACAAAACCCACATCTGCTCCTACCCAAGCCCCAGACTTTCCCATCTGCTTTCCCAACTGGTGTCCCGACCTGCGCTATTTTGGGCTGGCTCCCTCACCAGTACAGAGGGTGTCTACAGGACAGGCAGGGCGCTGCCTGCTGGCTCCCAGGTGAGGCTGGTAGGGAGCGCCGAGGGGCCTGTCCTCTCCCTGGGTCGTAAAGGGGAGAAAAACCTGCTCCATGTTTATCCAGCCCTGGCTCTGTCTCTGCACCCTCGGGAGGAAGTGTAAGTGTGCAGGCCTCTACTGGCTGTGTCTCTGGCTCTCTTAGCAATGAAAACCACACTGGCTTCGCTCCGGGGAAGTTCAAGATCTATCTACAGGTGAACCTGGTCCTCCAGGGAGACCCAGCTGGCCTGGCTTAGATCTCTGTTCCCCAGGCTCCTTAGAGCACCAGTCCTTCAAAAAGCTCCATGAGGAAAGGGGTGTATGTGTGTGTGTGTGTGTGTGTGTGTGTGTGTGTGGTACCAGCTTTACTGAGAGAGAATTCACATACCATACAATCTACACATTTAAAGTGTACAATTCACCCTGGCTGGTGTGGCCCAGTGGATCGAGTGCCGACCTGTGAACCAAAGGGTTGCCAGTTCAATTCCCAATCTGAGCACACACCTGGGTTGCAGGCCAGGTCCCCAGTAGGGGGCGCATGAGAGGCAACCACACACTGATGTTTCTCTCCCTCTCTTGCTCCCTCCCTCCCCTTCTCTAAAAATAAAATAAATAAAATCTTTAAAAATAAATAAGTAAATAAAGTGTACAATTCAGTGGATTGTTATCATTTTTAAAAGAAACTCTGTTCCCTTCAGCATTCACCTTCCAATGCCCCATCTCCCCAGCCCTAGGCAACAACTACGCCACCTCTGTCCCTATTGACGTGCAGGTCTGGGCAGGTCAGACACGGAATGAAAGGAGTCATACAATATGCGGCACTTCATGCCTGGCTTCCTTCGCTTAGCCTCCGCTTTGCAAACTGTGTTCTCTAGCAGCATGTGTCAGTACTTCGTTCCTTCTTCAGGGCCAAGTAATATTCCATCATTTGGATATATCACACTTTGATTGTGTATTTCTCAGTTGATGGACGATGGAGTTACTTGCACCTTTTGACTAATACAATTGATGAAAGGTTTTGTGATCAAATAAATTTAGGAAGCGATGCCAGCTTGATCTCCCTCTTGGAGATCCACACTGTCCCTTTGCACATTAAGGCCCTGAGGGGGCCTACAATAAAGTCAAGTGTTTCTTTTTCTCTGTCTAGACTTCCCTCCCAATCCTGCACACAGAGAATCCCAGGAGTCTGCATGTCGAGGGCCACACACAGAAAAGCAGGGACGTGGCTGAAGAAACGCCACCAACATGGGATCTCAACCAAAAGGCGGCAGGCAGTCTGTAAAAGGGGCTCCAGGCCCCCTCCTGCTGCTGCTGCCGCCACTGGAGGGACTTCCAGATGAGCTGGCAATCACAGGAGTCCTGAGAAAGCCAGCAGATTGGGAGCACTTGCCCAGCCTTGGCCAGCCCATTCATTCACTTCTTCCGTCATTAAAACGCATAGTTTGAGCACCTACGAGGCTGGAGTAGAGGCTTTCCACCTTTATGACCACAGGAAGTAATACGTCTTCATTCATGACTCAGGGTTACACACACACACACAGTTGAAAGTGTGGGAAGCGACGCCCTGCTTTTACGGTGTGCGATGTCTCCTGTAAGTGATTCGTCTGGTCTCCTCTGCTCAAAATATCTATACTGGTACTGACCCATTAAACTGATTTCATAACTCATTAATGACTCACGATCTGAGGTTCAAAAACCACAAAGCTTACAGACTGGGGAAAATATTCGCAAAATATATCTGACCAAGAGCTGCATTTACCACATTTTAAAAACTTAGAATTTTTAAGTGAAAAAAAGTAGAAGAAGAAGAAGAAGAATTCAAAGAAGTGGGCAAAAGCTATCAACAGGCACTCACAAGAGAAGACATGTAAACGGCCAGCAAGCACAGGAAGAGGCGCTCGCTAACATTGCTAGTCATCGGCGAGTGAAACAGCCCTGTGACCCGTCAGGATGGCTGAGGGTAAACAGCTGACAGTATCACCTGCTGCAGAGGATGCGCAGCGCTGGGAATGCAAAACTCTGTTGCCATTTTGGAAACCAGTGTAACAACAGTGTTTTATAAAATTAAACGTGCACTGACCATACAATCCAGCAATCACACTCCCAGGTGGGTACCCAAGAGAAATGCAAACATTTGTCCATACAAAGACTAATACAGTGATGTCCACGGCATCGTTATCCACATTAGCCAGAAGCTGGGAACAACTCAAATGTCCATCAGTAAGTGAATAAACAGAATGCAGTACATTCCTACGGAGGAATACTATTCAGCAATGAAAAGAGTGAAATATTAACACATACAGCAATATGCACGGATTTCATCACACTCAGGGAAGTAAGTCAGACACAGAAGATTACAATCCGCATGGTCCTGTTTAGGGGCAATTCTGGGACAGACAAAACAGTAGTGACACAATGCAAGTGACACTTGCCCGGGGTTAGGGGCGTAACTGCGATGGGAACGCAGGGGATGTTTAGGGTGATGACAACGGGACTCTATCTGTAACGTACGATTACCCAAAGTTGACAAACTCTCACCTAAAATGAGTGAATTTTATTATATACAAATTATACTTCCATAAAACTATTTGTTAAAACTTTGAAGACAGACTAGCTAGGGAGAGAGTACGCCAGGCGAAGGGGTTTGCACCGCGCCGAGCCTGTGCCCGAGAGCCATGGGGAGACTTAGGGCCTGGGGCAGGGGGGTGTCACAGTCCATTTGTGTTTAAAGCAGTCACTCAGGCCACTGTGCAGAGAATGGGTCTGGCGAGGGGACAGAGGGGCCTGACCTGAGGAGCCGAAGAGGAGCCACAGCAGAGAGTGACATAGGCAGTAGAAGAGGCTCTGAAGTCGGACTGGAATGGCGTGGACGAGGGGCCTGGGAAGTGGTGGGGGCACAGAGAAAGGACCTGATGCATCTCACGATTCCGTGTTAGCAACCAGGTGAACGACAGTGTCTTCAGAAAGCAATCAGGTTTGGTGGGGAAGAGGATGAGTTCAGGCTGGGACATTCCTGAGTCTGAGGGGCTGTGGGCCACCCTGAAAAAATGTGAGGAATGGCCCATGGCTCAGAAGAGAGATCTGGGCTGACTGCAGAGCCTCGGGAGTCATGGTGAAGACTTGGCCAAGAATGAGAGCCTTGGGGAAACGTGGGGATGTGCAGGGAAGGAGAGTTAATGCTATCTGGGCGAGCACTCATATCTAAGAGTGAGCTCGTGAGAAGGAATGGAGAGAATGTGGCCAGCGAGATCAGAGGACGACAAGAGGGTAGGCTGTTACAATAATGGCATGGTCAGAAAGGTGAAGTGTCACAGAGCTGGCATAGGGCAGGAAACCTGAGAATGGGGGCAGGAGAGCAGGGTAGGGACTCTGCTGCAAGAGGTGAAAGGGTACATGCTGAGGAAGAGAGTGCAGGGCATGCAGACACTCTTTGAAAAAGTCAAAGAAAAGAGAAAGAGGGGTCTGTTCCTAGAGGGAAGTAGCGTCATGGGATGAAGTTGGGGGACAGGAGCGAGAGCGGCAGCAAAGGGGTCAGGAGTCCTGTTTCTGGTCCCAGTGCTGGCTTCCTTCACTTGGAACAGATGCAGCTTCTTTTCTGGCAACTGTTTTGCCCTTACTCATGCTTGGATTAACAGCAAATCCTCATTTCCTTGCCGACTCATTTCCCACCCTTCGGGGAGCCTGGAAGGAGGCCCTAATGCCTTCACTGAGCCCTCCCCTCCCAAGCAAGAGTGAGGTGGGGGACCGCTGCAGATGGTTCTCAGTGGGATCATGCAGGATGAGTCCAGGAAGCGGAGCGACACCGGGCAGGCCACCCTGCCAAGTCCCCCCATTTGGGGATGAGTTGAAGCTAAGACCCAGAAAAGGGCCTTTCGTTTGCCCAAGGCCACTAAGCCGGCTGTCCCCACACCACAGCGTAGACTCTCTGTGGCAGACTTCCCAGAAGGCTCAGGTGAGGAGGCGATGCCTGGCCAGCCTTCAGAATCCAGGGGACACCAGCCCACCCAGCAGGAACTCCAGCTGGAAGGACCGCAAGCGAGAGATAATAGCGTGACTCTCGCGTGACTGGCTGGCCGGTTGCCCTGGTTGCAGGGTGGGGCGGGGCCCAGCCCTGTGTCTGTCTAAAGGCTCCCTGAAGGGTAGGAAATGAGGCGGCCTGGAAATCGGAATCCACTGTTACCCCAGGCATGAGTAAGGGCAAAACGGTGGCCAAAAAGAGGCTGCTTCTGCTCCAGGTAGCAAGAAAGCTTGTGAGGGAAGCTGGCACGGAGACCAGAGCCAGCTCTCCTTACCTACTTTGCTGCTTTCTGGCTCTGTGACCTTGCACGACCTACATAACCTCTGGGAGCTTGGAAATCCTACACATCACCTTCTACAAGCACAGTTTCCTTGGCTCATTCATTCATTCATTCATTCGTTCACCCAAGAAGCATTTCTCAGCATCTGCTTCCCTGGAAAGAAATTTGTGGTGGAAAGGGCTAAGGCTTTGAAATCAGAGGCCCAAATTCAAGTCTCTACCTGCCAATTATGAGCTATATGACTTTGGGCAAGTCATTGAATCTCTATGTGCCCAGTTTCCTCATCTGAAAAGTGTGGGTAAGAATACCTACCTACCAAGGTAGATGTCAGAATCCAGTTCGCCCTGACAAATGCTGCACACTGCAGCTGTAAGGATACAATGGCGGCAGCCTGGTGGCGCTGACGATGACCTGTGAGGCCCCAGTCGGTGGCGGATCCTAAAAGGGGCCCAAGAAGCTGCAGTTACTGTCATTGTGTTGCTGTTGGCATCAATCACAACACAACAATATGTAAAATGCTTAACATGCTCCCTGATGTAGCAGCTACTCAGGAAGTGGTTGCTATTAGTGCATTTATTTCAGTGGTGCCATCATAATGCGTGGGTGCTCAGCGATAGTGAGTTTTCTCTGCATCCACACAACCCTCAGAGCACCCTGACCCTACCGAGGTGTCCGTGGTCATCTTGGATAGAGTGAGGCACTTTGGGCCCCAGGGCAGGGTGCCTATAAATCCCAGCATCCTGTGGAGACCTCCACCCCAGGATGGCTCAGGACCCAGATCTGTCCCACGGGCGCTGCTGGGAGAAACAGATCTTTCTTTCTAACCACAAGTTTTGTTCCGGACCAGCCGCTGTCCCCCGACCAGCAACCCCCCACCCCCCACCCCACTCCATGTTTCTTGGCCCAAGAGCGAGCTGGACTCTGCTCTTTCTGCCCAACATTTATATTCCCAGCTATTTATAACCCAGGCTTAGAGTCGCCAGGGCTGGGCTGAATGGGCAGTGAGAAATCTGGCCTCCTGTCACATGAGCGGCCCCAGGGGCCCCTGGCGCCCATCAGAGCGTTTTCTTTTCCAAACTATCTCTTTGGCTTGCTTCCTCCTCCCCTGGCTCCCTCTGGTCACCATCCAGCATCTCCTTAACATGGTTCAATAAGAGATCATTTCATCTGTCCCAATAACTCTGTTTTGGAGTCTGGTAGACCGTGGGGTCCTGGCCTGCTTGTGGCCCTCAGATGCTGTGCTTTTCTTTCACTAAGAGGGGAGGTGGCCCTGAATGCCTGCAGGGAAGCAGAGGAGCAACGTCCAATACCTTGGGGGGTACAGTGATGGAAGGTCAAGGGAGGGCAGAGGGCCCTGTGCTGTCTGCCGTTCCAGAGAGGCCAGTGGGAGGGCCAGAGCCACGTGGTGAAGAGGCAGGAGAACAGGCGCTGGAATCCCAGATCTGCTGCTTCCTGGCTGTGCGCCCTTGGACAAGCTGCTTAACCTCTCTGAGTCTCTGTTTCCTACCCTGAAACATATGGAAGATAATCCCACTGCAGGGCGGGGAAATATTTGAGGAGCTCCCGCAGCACAGTGCCTGGCAAGCTAGTGCTGCATCTGTTTTTCTTTCACCTCCCCCCAAACGCTGATTCCTGGAACACGGAAAGCCAGAGATCTGAATCCCTTGCTCCTCACGCTTTTCCCAGGATTTGCTATTTAAAAGGGGGATCAACTTGAGAAAGAGAGCCCTGCTGGAGACTCCCAACCTAAAGTGCCTGATTTGGAGCTGCTCTGACAGTCAAGGGCAACAGCAACCCCAGCCTGGGCCTGAGCAACCACAGAAACTCTGGATGAACGGGAGGGGAACAGCCGGAGGGGGAGAGTGTGTCTGCAGGCTCCAAGGAGAAAACTGAGAGCTGAAGGCCAGCTATGGCGACACACAGGCTCCAAGTGACTTTTTGGCAACATCCAGACACGGCATTGTGAGGCAGATAGGTCTTCCCCACAGGGCTGGAGTAGGAGGGGAGGAACATGGTGACACAAGAGGCCAACATGAGGCTCAGTTGGGGAGCCCAAAATCACTGAAGGGGAAGCTGAACTGAGTTGAATGCTTGCAGTTACTAGTGGGGTTAGAGAGACAGCCTGAAGACTCCTGCTTCCCACCCTTACAGCGCCCCCTTGTGGCTGGGTGGCCTGGGAAAGATGCTTGGCCCAGGCTAAGGGCTAAATAAAGTAGGTTATATTATTCATTACACCCGAAGAACAGGTGGACTGTGTGTACGTGTGTAAAACTTGAGGTTAGGGAAACTGGATTTAAAATTTACTCCAAATCATTTCGAGTCTTCCTAGGGACCCCACTAGCCTGTGAGCTCTGGAGGGGGAAGGGCTCTGTCTATCTTGTTCACTGCAGTCTCCTTAGGATCTAACCCGCAGCTCAGGAACAAATGGATAGATGAATAAATGTTGAGAGAGGATGGCCTTCTGGGAGAATCTGCCAGGTGTGGGCGGGGGAACTCCACCGAGAAGGCCCTGGCCTGCCGTCCCCATCCATTTTCACACCTGGCCAAGCCACAGCTTGGGATACGAGAGGCAGCTGGTCGATGCAGGGCATGGAGCAGCCCAGCTCTGCTACTTACAAGCTGAGTGGCCGCAGGCTTCTCATTTAACCCCTTTAAGCCTCTTGATCCCCATCTATTAAAAAAAAAAAGAGACCCTAAGGCAGTCTAGGCAAAGTCTCTTGAAAATTAAATAAGTAAAATGGGTAAAAGACAAAACACGGACAGTGCTCTATGCATGGGTACGTCCACAGAAAGGTAAGGCTGGGTGGGCAGAGGCTCACCCTCCCAGCCCAGCACAGTGCTTTCGCTTCCTGCCGCAGTGCAGGGATGCGGTGCCAGCTCCCCACGAGGGGCTGGCAGCTGCTGTGCTCGCTGGTTGTTGCCTGCTGGCCTGCATCCAGGCCCAAGCCAGACCTGTCCGCCCTCGTCCTGGCAGCAGCCGCTCGTTTCTTCTTCCTCCCTCCTCCTGCCCACTCACCAGCTCCCACTCCCACCCTCCATTCCTATCCTTCTTTCTTCAGTGACTTCCCCGCCTCTCTTTGTTTCTTCTAAATACCGTTCCGGCCCGCTGGAGAAGAATAAAACCGAAGACTCCTCCTCATCCCTTTCTATCGCCGAAGTGCTCACAGCCCCCCGCGTGGGCCCCCGGACTATAAGAAGCACTCCCACCGTGTGGCCGGCTGAGAGCCACACTGCCCACCCCCTGCTCATGGGGCTCAGCCTGTGAGGGGGAAGGGAAAGGGAGGAAGAAATGTGACCACGCCACTGACTTAGGAAGCAGAGCTGGGGAGCTGGCCTGACCTCCCTGCCCCGCTATGGATCTCAGGTGGGAGCTGAACGCCTTCTGGACTTCCTGTCTTTTCCCACAAACATGGACCCACTCACCCCACTCTGGGCTGAAGTGACAGAAGCCCTCCCAACAAGGGATGTCACCAATGTCCTCTCAGCAGTGTCCTGGGCTCAGGAACCTATGTGCCATCTCTCTAGGGGAAATACCTCGCGTAGCATCCCACGCGGCCGCCCTTCCCTCGGGGCAGGTAAAACCCAGCAGGTCTCCTTTATGACAGCTTCCTGTACTGAAGTACGGGAAGCCCTGTGATTTGACCTTTGCGTGAAGTATGTCATTTAATCCTCACCACAACCTTTTGAGATCAATACTGTTGTTTCCCCACCAGTTGTGGATGAGGAAACTGAAATGACTCGTCCGGGGCTGTAACATGTCAGAGGCAGGATTAGGTCACAGATGTCTCCAACTTCAAAGCTGAGGCGCTTTAACACCATCCTTTCTCAGGACAAAAAAATGAACAGACGGGGGGGAAAAGCAATAAATAAAATCCCTTTTTTAATTTGGACAGATTTCATGCAAAGGGAGAGTCAGAGACTCTGGAAGACCCCACCACTGCCACCCGAACAGTCAGGAGTCCCGGGCCTCTCTACACAGGGACGGCAGGCAGATCAGCGGGATAAGAAGCACAGGCAGGGGCTGGAGCTGCTTCGGCCTGTGGGATGAATGCCAGGCCTTCAGCTCACTAGCTGGGTGGCCATGGGCTGGGCACGTTACCTCCCTACCCCTTGTTGTGGGGCTGGGGGTTCTCCTCCCGTACAACCAGGTAAGATCCTACTGAACTGACCCTCCCCTCGACCGCACACACAGCCAGACACAACCTCAAGGTGATGGAGAGTGAATGAAAGCAGGGGACTCCAGATAAGGGTCAGCACTGGGGAAAAGGGAACAGCATGGGGGGAGTCACCCACTTTTTATGGCTTCGATCTTGAGAGCAGGCCATGGTCAGCACAGCACAGAGAGGAGAGCTGCAGTCTTTCCGGCCTGAAGAAGCAGAGGACAAAATTCACATCAACCACATCAGCTGGAAAGGGTGAGATGGGGGCCGAAGGGCGAGACCCAGGGACGGAGAGCCCCGGATCCTGCACAGAGACTCCTTCCTGGTCTCTGGCCGATTACTGAACTCACGTGCATGGGAATGACTTCAGTTTAAAAGACATCAAACAACAACAACACAAAAACCCAGAAGTGGGATTTGGGCTGCCGTCCCAGAGCAGAGTTTGAAGATAACTGCCTAATAAAACAACTAATGAACACATGTTGAGAATATAACAGAATCCAGGGCCCTCACAACATAAAATGCACAATGTCAGGACATAATCCTGTTCCTCCATAAGTATGTTCTCAGACCACAGTGAAGTTAAACAGGAAAGCAGAACAGAGATGAAAAATTTCAAAGCATTGAGAGATCAAGCAACATACTTTTAAATAGCACGTAGGCCAAAGAAGGCTCAGGAGAAATTTTAAAATATTTGGAACAATATGAAAATGCAAATTCAAAATTTGTTGGCTACAGCCGTAGCAATGCTTGGAAGGAAAGTTATAGCACTGAATGAATATATCATTTTAAAAAAGAAAGATCTAAAATCAATTATCTAAGTTTCCACCTTAGGAAACTAGAGAAAGAAGGGCATTATAAGCCTAGAGCAAAGCTGAAGGAAAGAAACAATAAAAATTAGAACAGAAAACAATGAACCTGGAAACAGAAGATAAATGGAAAAATAAATGAAACCCAAAGACTGTTCTCGGGAAACATCGATGAAAATGATAAAACTCTAGCCAGGCTGACTAAGGAAAAAGAGTGCAGGTAAGAGTGCAAATGCCAGCACTGAAAGAGGAGTCATTCACACCGACTGCCTGGACAGTAAAAGGATAATTAAAGAACATAAGGAAAGCCCACCACACACAGCACCACGTATCTGACTGTCGAATCGAAAATGGGGGGGATCAGAAGACAGTGGAACCACATCTGTCAAGTGATGAAGAAATTCTACGAAGAATTCTATATCCGATGAAAATACCCTTCGAGAATGAAGGTGAGACTCTGGACTGCCAGCCAAGATGGAGGCGTAGGTAGACACACTGTACCTCCTCGAACAACCAAAATAAGGACAACAACAATTCAGAAACAAAGTAACAACCAAAACTGAAAGAAAATTGAACTGTATGGAAGTCCGACAACCAAGGAGTTAAAATAGACACATTTATCCAGACCGGTAGGCAGGGCACAGTCGGGCGGTGGCACAGGAAGCGGTGACACCAGGCGTGCAAGGCACCCCGGGCGCCAAGGTGGCAATGGGTGCGTAAGGAGGCACTGGGAAGACCCTGGGCACCCAGGCGGCGGCTGGCAGACCCCGGGCGTGGGGTGGCAATGGGCAGACCCAGCCAGGCGGTGACTAAGAAGCAAAACACCGTAAGCAAGGTGGCTGGCTGACCAGGCAGAGGTCCCACATTTACATGCAGATAACTGGAAAGCAAGACAGATCGTGCAACCCAGGGTCCCAGCGCCAGGAAATAAAGCCTCAAAGTACCGATTGAAAACACTTGTGGGGGTTGAGGCTCAGGGAGAGACTCCCACCCTCACAGGAAAGTTTGTTGGAGAGACCCACAGGGTCCTAGAATACACACAAGCCCAGCCACACGGGAATCAGCACCAGAAAGGCCTGGTTTGCTTGGGGGAAGTGGTGGAAGGGACTGAGGTGCAACAGAGTGGAGCAAAGTGCCATTTTTCCCCCTCTCGGACCCCACCCCATATACAATGTCACAACCCAACAACTTGGGTTGCCCCACCCTGGTGAACACCTAAGCTCCACCCCTCATACATAACAGGAGCAAACAGACCAAAACATTATGGCTCAAGAAGAAAAACAGCTCAAAGCCCCAGAGCCAATACTTTTAAGTGACCAAGACAGAGCCCACCTATCAGATGCACACACTTCAAAACACTGGTGATCAGGATGCTCACAGAACTGGTTAATTTTAGTCACAAATTAGATGAAAAAATGAAGGCTACACCAAGTGAAATGAAGGAAAATACACAGGGAACCAATGGTGATGGGAAGGAAACTGGGACTCAAATCAATGGAGTCCCAGAAGGAAGAAAGAAACATTCAACCAGAACAGAATGAAGAAACGAGAATTCAAAAAAATGAGGAGAGGCTTAGGAACCTCCAGGACATCTTTAAACATCCCAACATCCAAATTATAGGGGTACCAGAAGGAGAAGAGGAACAGCCATGAGTGGAAAACTTATCTGAACAAAAAATAAAGGAGAACTTCCCCAAGCTGGCAAAGGAAATAGACTTCCAGGAAATCCAGGAAGCTCAGAAAGTCCCAAAGAAGTTGGACCCAAGAAGGAACACACCAAGGCACATCATCATTATATTAGCCAAGATTAAAATGAAGGAGAGAATCCTAGAAGCAGCAAGAGATAAGGGGACAGTCATCTACAAAGGAGTTCCCATCAGACTGTCAGCGGATTTCTCAAAAGAGACCTTACAGGCAAGAAGGGGCTGGAAAGAAGTATTCCAAGTCATGAAAGACAAGGACCTACATCCAAGATTGCTCTATCCAGCAAAGCTTTCATTTAGAATGGAAGGGCAGATAAAGCACTTCTCAGATAAGGTCAAGTTCAAGGAGTTTATCATCACCAAGCCCTTATTATATGCAGTGTTAAAGGGACTTATCTAAGAAAAAGAAGATTAAAAAAACATGCATACTAAAATGACAGCAAACTCATAATTACTAACAACCACACCTAACATAAAAACAAACTAAGGAAACAACTAGAACAGGAACAGAACCACAGAAATGGAGATCACATGGAGGGTTAGCAACAGGGGAGTGGGAGGAGGAGAGAGGGGAAAAGGCACAGAGAATAAGGAGCATAGATGGTAGGTAGAAAACAGACAGGGGGGAAGGCAAGAATAGTGTGGGAAATGTAAAAGCTAAAGAACTTAAGACACATGGACATGAACTAAAGGGGGGAATGTGGGAGGGAGAGGGTGTGCAGGGTGGAGGGGAATGAAGGGCGGGAATGGGACAACTGAAATACCAATCAATAAAATATATTTGGGGAAAAAATTAAAAAATAGAAAAAAAGAATGAAGGTGAAAAAAAAAAAGAACGAAGGTGAAACAGACATCATCAGAAACAGCACACTAAAAGAATCCACCACCTTCAGACCTGCAGCCTGAGACGCGCCGCCGGAAGTTCTTCAGGCCGAAGGGAAGCAAGGCAAGGGGACGATCTGAATCCTCGGGGAGGCGAGAAGAACGTTGGAAATGCCAAGCACCTGGGAAACTGTGTAAGACCATTTTCCCTCTTTATTTCTTTAAGCAGATGTGGCTCTTTAGAGAAAAGATTGTAGCATTACCTTGCGGAGTTTATGAATGATGCAGATGTGACTCACATGTACCACAATTATGGCAGGAAGGACGGAGGGCGGTGACGGTGCACGGCCGCCAGTGTGCAGTGGTGCGGTGTTAACTCCGAGCAGACTGTGCAAAAGGAAGGATGTTGGCACAGTCCTTTTGGGGAGTTACAACAAAATACCAGAGACTGGGTGGCTTACGAACACATGAATGGAATTCTCACAGTTCTGGAGGCTGGGAAGTCCGAGATCGAGGCGTTGGCAGGTGGAGTGTCCGGTGAGGGCCTGCTTCCTGCTTCATAGATGGTGCCTTCTGTCCGCAACCTCACGTGGGGGAAGGGCCAGGGGATCTCCCTGGAGCCTCTTTATAAGGGCTCTACGTCTTCCATCACCTGATCACCTCCTCCTGAAATCCCTCCTAATACCTTCACCTTTGGGCGTTAGGGTTTCAACATTTAAATTGGGGGGGGGGGTGCAGCGGGGACACATTCAATCCACAGCAGATACATATTGTAATCCCTAGAGACACCACTAAAATATGCAGCAGAAGTGGCACGCTAAAAAACACTTGAATAAATCTCAAGAAGGCAGGGAAGGAGGCCTCCTCATCTATAAGTGCGGATGACACACCAGGCCCCACAGAGCCGCAGTGACATGAAGGGACACTGCAGTGACTGCTGGGCCCCTGAAGGAGGCTGCAGAGGGAGGGGAAGAGGAGGCGGTGCAGCTTTGCACTCAGCCCAGGAGGAGAGGGCTGCCGCTGGCCAGTCAGAACAGAGGACACTCTACCCATTCAAATGACCTCTGGGCCGCAGGCTAGCTCCCCCTATAGTGTTGAAGATCCCTTCTCACTTTTGGATCTTTCTGTCTTTCCCCTTTTCTAGCCTCCCCCCCCCCCCTTTTAACCTATCAACATCCCAGAAAAGGCAGGCTCTTTACGTGGGGTTTGTTTTGATATGCAACACCAGCAGGTCCTTAGTCTCCTTCCCCACTGTAGTCCGGCAGGGGAAACCAGCCTACCTCTCATTCATCAGTGCTAGGCACAACCCCACTTTAGCTGGCCAGGCTCAGGTCTTCAGGGACAAGAACAGCAGTGGTAAGAGAGGAGGGCTCCGGGAACCTTCGGCTGCTCCTCACTCCCCAGGCCCTAAAGCAAGGCTACGTGGGCCCCTGTGTCTCATAGAGGCAGTGGGGAAAGCGGTTCTTTTCGCCTCTGCCTGCAGTCTGACGTCAATATGTCCAAATCTGCCTGAGACCCAGCTGGAGACCCTGCCGTAGGCTCATCACCAGGTAGGGTGACCAGCTTGCCTCAGTGTGCTCAGGATTCTCCTGGTTTTAGCCCAGTAAACCCCTCAGGCCCTAGCAAACTGGGGTAGTTGGTAACCCAGTGACAGAGGGCAGAGGAAGGGGAGCAGGTAAGGGCATGACAGTGGGTCATTCCCTCTGATGGCTGTCACCCAGGGAGTCCCCAAGGGTTTAGAGCTGGGGCAGATGGAGTTTTGGCTCAGGCCTCTGATGGGCTATGAATTCCTGCAGAAGGCCCAAGAAACCCAGTACAGACTTGTTTCTTTAGGGAAATTTGTTCTGGATCCCACATAGTCAACTTTCCCATGACCCGTGGAAAAAGACTAGGGGATGCTAAACCATGAAGAGTTTCACTGGCGGAAACAACACTTCAGAGCTAGAAAGTACCTCAAACA